CAAGAGTTGGAGGTTGCTGTGAGTTGTGACAACACAGCACTCTACCAAGAATAGTGAGACTGTCTCTAAAAATAAATAAGTAAATGAAAATAACAAAGAAAAGAACTCTTCTTGTTAAGCCTCTGATGTTCCCAAATGCTAAGAGAGGCTATACATTCAAATTCTAGGCTATAATGTTCTCAGGCCAACAATTAAGTATTGAATAAAGGCTTAGGAAAATATAAAAAGAGGACAAAATCCCTCATAATGCAAAAAAGAAAAAAAATAAAATTGCTGAGAAGATAGACATGGAGAGGCCGTATATTTCTTCGATAAGCCAGTTTTAAACTACTGTTGCTTTTCTTTTGGGAGGAATGTCCATTTTCTCTTAGAAATGGACATTTACATTTTTTTCCCAGACTAAGGAAAGGTCTTCCGTATCTAGTTGTTTCCCAAATCAGCTCAAATGCCTTCTGTCCAAGACACGCTTGTCTTCTCAAAGCCAATTTCCCTTTGAAACCTTTCAATGTGTCAGTAGGACCGAGATTAGGCTGATCAACAAGATCTGAGATTTGTCATTTGTCTTTATTTTTCTTCCCCTTCACTTAGAGAACTAGAAGTCAGCAAGCAACCAGGTCCTAGCACACTGTCAGTGGTGCAGCTGTTTATTTGGTGCCATCTGTTATGACAGGCCTTGGAAATACAAATGTAAGACACACCACACCCCCAGGGAGCTCACAGTCAAGTATTTCTCCCATGACATTTTCATATGTTGCTGGTATTGCTGGTGTTCCCCATCCTGTGGTCACTTTTCTTCTCTACAACAAGCCCCTAAGATCTCTGGCTCCTATAGATGACTCACTCCCTCCTAACACTTCAGCTCTCACAACATTACACAGACTGAAACCAAAAATTCTCCTGGTAATTCCCATTGGCTTCCACAGAGTGTCTGTGGATTTTACTCTCATAAACAGAGCCTTGTGCATCACCAGACCCTCCCTCTTCTACCTAGTAATTACCCCTTTTATCTCAAACACCCTGTAGTTCAAGTTCATTGCTCCAGCTCAGCTGGCCTGGAAACTTATGGGCTTTATTCCTGGCCTCATCCCTCCAAATTGATCATTCCCCCCCCCCCCACTCCCTTTCTACCTATAGCTTTCAGGACAGAGCTATGGCTCAAATCCTGCCTCTTTCCACAAAATGTTTCAAGCAATTATATCCCACTGTGATTGTGCATTAATATATCATAGTATTTGTCTAAATCATTCACTCTGACATTTAGGCATAGATAGTCATATTTTTATTTCTTGTCTCTCAAAACGTAGCTATTTAGTGAGGTCAGTAGGAAAACCTTGTACTTTTCTTATTTACTTTCACACACCTACTCAAATAATACATATTCATTGAGGCTCTATTTTGTGCCCAGCACCATACCAGGCATGAGAGGGGTCTACAGCATTTTGACTTGGTAAATCCTAAACAAATACTTGTTGATGAATAAATGTTACCCTTTTTTTGCTTACAGGTAGCATATTTATTTGAGAAAAATAAGTCTTAAGCTGTTTTACTGTTAGATCATTTGATCATGGGAGTTCCCTAATTTTCAAAGAGTCCTTAAAGGTAAGGTGACCAGATTTTAACATTGGTAAAGCGGGACACCATTGGGGGGGAGCTTGGGGGGCAGGGCCTGACAACAATGCAAACTTTGATAAGCAGTTCTCCATAATCAGTTCTCAACAATTATTTGTTATTATTAAAGTTTAATATTATAAAATTAACAAAAATAATATAAAACGCATATCCTGCAAAATAGCCACATGACAGCCGAAAACCGTATATTCCCTTCCTGTTCTCCTGTGTTCCCTAGCTTATTGTGCATTCTTTCCAAAAATCGGGGCTTTTTTAAAACACCGCAGGATGCACAACAAATTGTTAAAAATCAGGACTGTCCCGCCAAAAGCGGGACATCTGGTCACCTTACTCTAGAGAGGGGGCAGCTACTTGTTTGTTCCACACAGTTTGGCTCCTTCTGAGCTAAATGTCCTTGCCTAGAAGCAAGGGAGGGAGCCAGTCTTCTTCTGATAACTTGCCCAAGAGGGGATTAGGGAGTTTACATCAGCCTTTTCTTTTCTAAATGAAGTTACGTTAACCTCTTCATTCCCAAATGGAGTTACATTAACCTTTTCAGCAGCCAAAGCATATATTCTCTTCCCATTCTCCCATTGTTCCCTAGCTTGTCATGCATTCTTTCCAAAAATCGGGAGTTTTTTAAAATGACGCAGGACTCGGGACAAATTGTTAAAAATCAGGACAGGACTGTCCTGCCAAAAGCGGGACATCTGGTCATCTTACTTAAAGGTCAACTATTAGAATTTTCAGCAACAGGTTTAAGGTTGCAGATGGGTATAGCATATATTTACTTGTTCATATCCTTCAGAATTTAATGGAACTTTTGTAACTGCTGTTAACAAATTACCACATTTGTAGGCTCATGTTTTACCTTTCCTCAATGTGGTATAAAATGCCCTAAATAAATCAAACGAAAAACTCTTTAGCTACTTGACATCTATAATTACAGGAGACATATCTAGAATACCAGCTTTATAAATAAGCCCGAGTCTTCCCAGATTTGGACAGCTATATTAGTAAAATGTGGGAGAAGTAGATGGTTTATTATGATTTAATTGTACAGACTTCTGTTGCAGTTTATACAATTTAGTTTACAAATATGCCCATAAAAAGCACATTACAATATAATAAATATTCGAGTAAATAAATAAATGTCACCATGCCTGTTCTCTTCAATGACAACAAATAATAAGTATTATGGCTCCAGATGTTTATGTAAATTGGCCCTGAGGGACGGATAGGCCATTGGGTAACCATTATGGTTACTGATGCATTTTTTTTATACCCAGGTGGTACTATGGAAAGAATGGCTGCAGTGTCCATGGACCATCCATCTACATAGCTGCTGTCCATCATAATATGTAGCAATGACCCTCATGCAGCCTTGAACTTGAAGAGAATGTTGATTTTTAATGAAGAAGAAAGAGGAAAAGGAGGAAGAGGAAAAGAAAAAGAAAGAAGGAATGAAAGGAAAAACAAAGACCTTTATAAGAGAATATATTTTAAAAATCGAGCCAGACACTGTGTGAGAAAACTTGTAGAGATAATTTAAGGATCCCAATACGGTTACCTTCCTCCAAATACAATTTGCTTTGCTTCTCTCAGGAATCCAAGGTAAGGACAAATCTAAGCCCAACTCAGCATGGAAATGATTCCAACGTGGGCTTCAGTCCTTTTGAGAACAGGTTTTTCCAGGAATTGCTGGAGGCTCTGATCAGCTTCCCTGCCACTTTTGCATTTGTATTCAGCAAGTTCTAAGAAAAAGCCGCACCAAAGGTTGGGCTCACCTCCCTTGGGTTCTCTCTTGCTTCTGGTTTTCAGTTTTATAAATTCACCAAGGCTGTTAAACAGGTGTATAGTAAATTTGTTTCATTTGCATTATTGTCAAGAGTCTGGGGTTGAATCAACTGAACAGCCAGTAGTAGAAGCTCCGAAGTCTACTACTTTCACTACTGCTGTCACTACTCATCTATCTTTCTAGGTAGTTTTTGGTGGAGTGATCCTTAGTAGCTCAATCCCTCCACCCCTCCCCCTTCCTTTTCTGCCAATTCAGCATATATAGAAAGATCTCTCAAAAATCAGACGCAGTTGCCACTTGTTTAGGTTACAAATTGTCTATGCAACTTTCTATCTGATCTCCCTGCCACCAAGATCTCTCAAATCCAGTCTTAAGTAGAGCGCTGTGTAGCATAAAATATCCTGGAAATGAAGTAGGTAAATAGGAATCACCTTTCCAGCCTTTCACCCTGCAAAACCAGGTAGGAAGGAGGCTTAATGGTATCCTACAGGAAGTCACAACATCCATGTGTCTACCCAATGAGGAAAGATACCCACTCTTAGCTTTGAGCCAGTCAGGAGGTCACCCTTCCACCCACTCATCTAGCAGCACAATCAAAGGCAGTTAGTCCAAACTACCACTGTATGCTGACTGTAGGAGGAAGAGGCAGCCAGCATGATACAAACGGATCCCTGAGGCCTCCATGAAGAAGAGATCCAGGCAGCAAGTGTGTGTGAGAGTGTATTAGGGGAAAGCAATGTCTCTTTAGTATTTTTTAAATATTTGATGCTTAAATACTAATACTGTAAATAAATAAAGATAAAAGCATGTCTCTGGATCACAATATGACAAAAAAAATTGGCACAGGACACAGCCTAAAGGGATGCACAAAAAAAGCATGAGAGTGTGGGCCCTAAAAAAAACCCAAAACAAGAAATGAAGCCTAGCCAACAAACCCAGAGCCATCTAGACCAAGAAAGCACACAGACAGGTGAACCAGCTCTCAGGTATGTGGAAGTATTGGAGGGAGAGCTACCAGATACATCCCCACAGCATATTGCATTTATAACATTTATTTCTGTCTGAGTGGGCTTCACAATTTCCAAAAACAACAGAAAGCTCTAGAATGGTCAATGGAGAACCTGGTTTGGCACGCTTGATGTCTCCTGCCTAGGTTCTTACTTAGAACAACTCATGCACCTGAACATCACTTGTGTTAAAAAAAGATGAGGAAAAACTAAAGAAAGCCTTTTGATTCTAAAGTGATGGGGTTACAGATTATGTTTTCCAAACATTACCTAATGCTATTACATTGTATTTACAACATACATAAACACAAACAACCACTAAATCCAAAATGTAATAAAAGACATAACAAAACCTTCTTTTGAATGAGGGATTTTTCTAATTAATTTGGACAACATAATTACAAATTTCTGTACCAAAAATGGGGATACAGCAGGGCCATGTGCTCCCTGAGAGGGTCTTAGAATTCAATCATCCTGATTGGCAGCTGGTCAATTTTAATTTTCTTTTTAAAAACATGTTGCCTATTTTCCCAAATAGCAAATGAACAAGACGTTTTTTAAAATGTCACTTTTTAAAATTTTTTTACCTGAAATTTGCATACTCTTCCACTTGTCGTTTCCATGGACAGCCCTGTATATCTGTGATAATCTGAAGGTAGTCGTGTTCCGAATACCTACAAGTTAAATGTTAGTAAAATTAGACAGTAGCGATCTTACAGATAAGTCAGGGTAGAGGATGTTTTTATATTCTGCTCATTTTAGTCCTCCAAATCTCTTCTGAAATAAAACGGAGTAGAAATAATGAAAATCAAACTCATTTCAAAATATCTAGAAAGATACAATTGGCAAAGAATGATGTTGTTGGTGTAGGTACATATATGTGGCACATACGTAAGACAAGCGTAGTATTGCAAACCATGACAACACACCAACTCAATCTATATATCTTCTGGGCATTTCACCTTAGCTTTCTCTGATTTGTATGTGTTTATCATAAATATACAGTTAGTCACTTTTTTCAGACTCCCAAGTTCATGGATTTACCTTGAGATGTACAGATAAAATTGCCACAAAATAATCATTTTAAGCTATAATTTTGAACAGTATATTCAAAACCCAGACTGGGGTCCTGTTCAATGCTTCTCAATTTACTCCTCCATGCCTACACATTTTCATACCACTATCCATCTCTCAACTTGCTCTTCAGTCCCCAGAAGAGCTCCCTCGCTTTGAAAAGCCATCATTAAGTATTAATTCCTTAAGCACAGAATATCTTTTAGTCTTTAAGCCCTCTCATTTGAAATGCAAATATCCCTTTGAATGAGAAAACCTTTACATTTTCTGTCAATTAATATCTTCATCATTAGTTGCCAGCTATTAGAGATCAAGGCTCTAAAACAGAGAGAAAGCTTATGTTGGTGAACAGATAGGGAAGGGAGAAGGCCATAAAGAGCCTGTCAGGAAAAATTACACCCCCACCCACCTACAGAAGAATGAGGATTCTCCAAAATTTATCTCTGGAAGGAAGTATTTCTTATATGCAGGTAATATAGTCAACCAACTAACACCTTTGCCCATGAAATCTTATCTTTCATTTGGGTATGTTTCCCTTCAGTAATGCTGCCAATATTAGCTTGACTTGGTACCAGTACTCATTCTGGACATAGGGAACCAGGGGACCAGGGACCATTCAGATGGACTAACAGATCTAAGACATGATTGTCCTTGGTAACCCAGGAAATGTGTGTTCAAATATAAATATGAAATGTAATAAGATATAAACTATTTTCATGAAACTCAAAGCAACATTTCCTTCTTCCATGGATAATAGCTTCTACTTAATAACTTTCCCCGATATTGACTTGTCCTATACACAAATCTCCCTATATTAAAGCCCAGACCTCCTTCAATGTATTGCCTGATAATTCTCACATTAGTCCACTCACTCATGTGTCCCAATTTCCAATTTCTTAGCATGAAAGGAGGCATGTGCACATGTGTGTGTCCTGTTAAATTTTTACCCTTTTTATCATGAATGAGTGTACCTATCTTCTTTTTTGAGCTCCCTCAATGATAATCAATTTGCTGAAGAATTCACACAGGAATCAGGGAAAGGGGTTATGTTGCTACATAGTAAATGCCTAATCTCTGCAACTTAAAGAGGTTCAAGTCCTACCTCTTTTTGGCTGACTCGTGGACTTCAAAGTAATCTCCATTTTTGCCCTCTTTGTTGGCATAGGGAGGGTTTGGGCAGGGGTTCTTTCTTCCTTTCCTCTGTACTTTCTCTCACACAAGCTTGTGAGAGTTGAGTGTTAAATGTTCAGGACTGTTGTGGGCAAATGTGTTAAACCACTGGCAGCTTTGAAACGAGAGTGTTTACACCACAGGAATTGGCAAATGTGACACATCAGGGCAATGTGCTTCCTTCCTCCAGCCAAGCTAGTTATCAAACATGAACAAGTTCACCCCTGTTCTTATAATTCACCACAGTTGTGCAACCTATTGGCCTGGCTTCATAGCCATTCACCATCCCATAGTTTCAGCTGTAATGAGGACTGCCGCAAAGGCTAGGTCAGACTTTGCTGCCACACCTAACTTATCAAGCAAGACTGATCCAGAGTGGTCCAAAGCCTGGGCTAAACAAAACTATCATATAAGATCCAAACAGCAACTACTACTTGGGGAAATTAATGATGACTTTATTTTCCACCAAGATGTTGTGCAAATGCTCCTGAGTATATGATACCTTTACTTTAACTTCCTTGAAAAGCAGAGTTTGTGCCATTTTTAAATCATTCTTGTTTGTATATTAAGCTTAGTCTGGAACATTACAATTGCCATCCACTGCCAATTAGAATAAAGGTGCATTGTGAAATAGATATAGTCTTTATAATTTTTCATTTTAAACTTCCTCCAATAAATTGTAGCTGGCTCCAATTTAACTTAATGCTGAAAGATGCCAATCATAATGTATCTAATCTTACTGGCAAGGTGGGTGTACAACGTGGCTTCTGACTTTACAGTCACTGATATGTAAAACCAAGTGAACACATTACAGTAGACCTATCTATTTAAAGGGAAGAAAGACTTGTGGCCATTGCACAATCCAATGATAGTACTTAAGACACTTACTCCTTGAAATTACTATGTTCAAAGAATCATTTTTATGTCCAGTCTAAAAATGAAGCATTATCTTCTGATATTATAAAGGTGAAGGCTGAAGAATATGGAATATCAAAGGGGAGCATTTTTTCCCTTAAGTCCTTGCCCTTTTCTACTGAAAAATAAATGACCAAGCAGCTTTTGCCAAAAATTAAGATTGCCACAGTACCATCAGGATTCTAAGGTGAGAGTGTGATTGTAGCAGAAAATCATTTAAGAAGTAAAAACCACATGTATGCTGCAAGTGGGGGCCAATGTCAGGAGTTAAGTGTGTCTCTGCCAAAGCTGCTTGTTAAGGGAAATGTCTTAAATCATATACTTTCTCCACACTTACGTACACAGTTGGTTTTCAGTTTATAAAACACAAAATCTTGGGAGACAACTCTGCTTGTGTTATTACTTCCATTTTTCTGGATAAAAGTAAAAGTTTTGGGATGATAAACAGCATGTTAATATTGCATCATAAGTGGATGAGCTAAGAATTAAACCCATGACTTTTGATTCACATTCTGGCTCTTTCTAATATATAATGCTGCATCTCATCTATTTTCATAATGAAACTGAAAATTAATCCCATCAGAAACATTTTCTGGTCCCAAGATGTACAATAAATCATACTAAATAATGCAGCAAATTATGTTCAAAAGAATAAATAACGTCTACTTAAATCACTATTAATAATTCTCAAAATGAGACACAAATTATAAATAACATACTAAATGATAATAAATGTCATATTAAAATTTTAAATATTTTTCTAGATATGTCTCTTTGAAGATGAAGACCCACATGCTGTGACTAGTTTTATCTCAATTAAGATATAAATCGGGCTTTTTATGAGCTATAATTGATGGCTAATTAATTCAATCATTAAACATTTACAGTACTTCTCCCTTTACCCATGGTTTCATTTTCTTTAGTTTCTGTTACCCACGGTGAGCCATGGTCGAAAAATATTAAATGGAAAGTTCCAGAAATAACAATTTTACACTGCACACTGTTCAGAGCAGCATGATGAAATCTTATATCTCCCCCACCCCATCTTGCTCAGGATTTGAATCATTCCCTTAACCTGTATATTGACACTTGCTACTAGTCTCTTAGTACTCATATCAGTTAAAGCAGGTCTGACAATTAAGTTTGCAAACCTATCCTAAATGATCACCAGAACTGTCATTGTATGGCTCACCTAAAACACACAACAATGATAATCAATGCTACTTAGCAAGATAACACTACGGGTCGACAGGAACGAAGCTGTGAGACGCTGATATACCAAGGTTAGGAAACCTTCCCAAGCTGTTTGTACAGTGCTGCCAACATCACATGGTGGTAAATTCGTGAACTTGTCAGACCTTTGTATGACAGTGACTCTCAAGGTCATTCCAGAAAAAGAGCTCTAAAATTGCTTTGAAAGGTGGACTAGGCACTGATGTTGGTGCAAAGCTTCCCAAGGGGAGTACTTCGAAGGTGATAGTGATATTCAGCAACGAGGTATATAATACTTTTCCAGGATGAGTTTGAGAACTTAACTGTCAGACTCTGTACTGTCAGACTCTGTATACAAGGATTTGTACTACTCATGGTTTCAGGGATCCACTAGCTATCTGGCAACATATCCTCTGTGAATAAGGGAGGGATTAGATTACTGCTTTGGGTGCTTATTAGGTGCCTAGAGGTTATCCTGAAGATATTCATTTATTAATATTTGTCCTATTTCAGCAGCTGAGATACTGATTTAATTTCTGATAACGTCTCTTCATGGTGAAAGTCAATTTTTTCTTATCTATTAGATGGGTGGGGATAGCCCAGTAATATTAAATCAGGAGTTTTCTGTGGGATACTCTGTGAAGATCAAAAAGTGTTCGGCAGATAGTTTCTGCCATGTCCCCGAAGAGCTTAGCTCTACATGAAAATAAAATCTGCAAATACATACAGTGCTACAAAATCTTTAGTCAATACAGCCAATCATTTCCACCGAGTAATACCTTTTAAAGGAATGGCTTATGAGTGGATGAAGACTAAACCAAGAGACCTTGGTGGCAGGTAGACTGAGTTGAACTATGCAGTAGCACCCACATTTCTCCACTAAAGGCAGAAGACTTCAATTTACATTGTGTTTTTCAACTACGTGTGATGCTAACTTCTAATTAGAATGCTGTGGGCATTGTCAATTGGCATGGGAGACAGGGATCTGAAACTTTTATTCTCTGCATATCTTTTAATGTTCCTCAGACAAGTCAAATATTAATAAATATTACAAAACAGCTTCAGAGATTAACTCCTGATGATGCCAATATACTTTTCCAGAGCTCCAGTGAAATCTCCAAAGTGTTATACTGCATTCTTTGAAAAAGCCAGACACTGATTTTTTTTTTTTTAAAGTGGGGAATACTTTCTCTATGCTAGAAAAATTAACTTTGAGGTACTGGTATTGACTATATACTTAAGACATGTGCTAGGAAAACAGGATAAACCCGGGAATAGAGTAAACCTTACCCAACCAAGAGTA